CTTTATTACTCTTTGCTAAGAAAAAACACTTTTTGCTAAGCTTTATAGCTTTAGCACTTTTATTCGAAGCAGTTGTATAAAGGCAGCGTGATTTATATTATTCAATAGCTTTGTTATACCGTCGGCGACATTCTTTTTGCTAAGAATATATTATAAATCGAGTCGTCCTTTTGCTACTTTATAGCGTACGTAATAGAACTTAATATCGATATGCTTAGTTTTTTAATAGTATTTAAGGTTTTTAAAAAGTAAGAGTGCTCTTTATGAATTACAAATCATTTTAATTTTCTTCGCGTTAGCTTTTTTATAGCTAACCTTATTAAGTACTTGCTTAATTTAAGCGGCCTTTTAAGCGAATTTGCATATGGCTACGTACTTAGCCTCGGTTAAAGAAAGAGCTATAATAGTCTAGCGTTTAGAAATGACGTTAAAAACGCTTTTTGCAAAAAAGAATACTTTTCCGCTATATAAAACTCGATTTATTTTAAAGCCGGCTTAATCGGAGTCGCAATAGCTTATTAATTTAATAAGCTTAGCGTCCTTTCTATTAAAAACAATTGATAGCATACAAGTGCTTTATAAGTATTGTAGAACGCGCTTTGCGGCAGCTATATATTAAGGTAACGGATTAGTTAAGAATTTAGCTAATAAAAAGCAATGGTAAGCAATGTCTTATCGAGTATGAGTTGCAAGGTACTGCAAAGAGCTAACGATTGATTAGTATAATATAATCTCGTATTAAGTAGCTTAGCTTTCGAATTTAATCATATGAACTTCGGAACTTATTATAAAAGATATAAGTGCACTCTTGCAATTGAACATACCGAATCGGTCTAACACTTTATTAATATAAGCGTCTTAGCATAAAATAATAGTATTTGCGGGTCGATTTTTAACGATTCTAACTTTTAAAAAGTAAGTAGCTTTATCGGTATAAGTGATATCGAATAAGTCGTGCAAATCTTTTTTAAATTGCTCGTAGATTGATCTTGATTTACCGATCATTAAGAAGTCGTTAATATAAGTGACAATTATGATTTTGAAGTCTTTATTAATATAAATATAATTATCGGTTTTTATAAAGGCGAATCTTAGCTTAGCAAGTCGCTTTCGTAGCAACTTCTGCTAAAGGCGTAGTGATTGTTTAAAGCTATATAAAGCTTTAAGTAGCTTTAAGCAGTTTTTATTAGTAAAAGTGTAGCCGAATTCGACTTATCTTAATAGAGCTTTAATATAAATGTTATTATTAGCTTTATTATTTAAAAAAGCAATGTTAATATCGAATTATTAGACTTTTAAGTCGTATAAAGCGACTAAAGCAATTGCAAGCTTTTAAATAGCGGATTTGCATACTTTAGCGAAGGTTTGATCGTAATTACGGCTTTTTTATTATATATAGCTTTAAATTACGAATCTTACTTTATATCGCTTGATCTTTTTATTCTTATTTTTTTTAATCTTGAATAATAAACGTAAGCTTAGAATGCGTCTACTTTTAAGGATATCACGCTTTTTTATAATTAACCACGTCTCTTTGCGTCGAAGAGCAAAGTATTTTTTAATAATAGCTTAGCGCTAGTTATTTGCATCTGAGCGTGTTAAAGCTTTTTTTATAGTCTAAAGGTCGTTTGCAAATAGTGACTCTTTAGCAGCGTTAAAGTAAGTCTATTAATAGGTGTTTGTTCTTTCTTTAATAGTTACGTTTGCTAATAAAGCTGCAGCAGCGTTGCGAGTGCTAGACCGAGTATTTACTCGTTCCGAAAAAGGAATCTAAAGATAGATTTTGCGTAGTCTTCGAATAATAAGAGCTTCGAGAGTCTTATCATTTACTTTAAAAGGAACAACTTCTTCTTCGACTTCCTCGATCTTTTTCTTATCGTTTAAGGAAGGAGCTTTATAAGATTTAAGGAGCTTGTCGGTAGCTTCTTCGTCCTCGCTCTCTTTTAAATTATCATCGAACTCTAGTTTATCTTAGACGTAGTGATCAAAGCTTTTAAAAGACTTTTAATCTTGGTCATGCTAGCTAAAAGTAAATTAATTACGGTTAACTTAATTACTTTTAGCTTTAAGTAGCATTTCTTCTTTTTCTTTAAAAGTAAGTTCGATAACGAATCTATCTTTATTAAAACGAATATAAAAGGTACGAACTACTTTCTTATTAAATCGAAGAAGAACGTAGATTCGCTAGATATTATTGCTTTCGAAACTAATTAATGTTCCGACTTTAGCTTTAAGCGCTAGCTTGCGACTTTGTACGCGGCGTTCAAGCTTAATTAAGACGTAGACTTTGCATTCGAGAACTCGCAAGTGCTTGATCGAAAGTTTATAAATCACTTTTAGCTTAATATCATCTTAAAAAGCTTCGTAAGAGGTCTTTCTATTTAAAAAAGCAGTGTTAGCTATATGATTGATAATATAGATTACTACTATTAAGCACTCGGGCTATAAGAACTTAAGAATCTTTTAATTAATAGTTGCGGTGCGTAGCTTTTTTATTAAAGTACGAATAGATCGCTTTAATCTATCGTTTTGCTCGGAAGTGTAAAGTGTCGATTCTTTAAATAATATACTTAAATGGTTTGCTAACTTTTTTATTTGCTTAAAAGAGTATTCTTTATTTCCGTCGCAGCGCTACACTTTAATAATGCGATTGTATTAAGTCTTAGCAAAGCGAATCATCTTTTTGTTAACTAAGAAAGCGTTACTCTTGATTGCGTAAGTATATCTTTACTTAGCTATTATAGCTAGGCAAGTGAAGATTAAAGCGTATTTATAACTGTAAATCTTAATAAAAGTCAAATGAACTATATTTACGTATAGCTTTTGTAAAGCAATCGTAAGTCTTTTGCGTGCTAATATTTTATTAGTCTTCCGAATAAAACGACCTTTCTTACAAAGAGCGCAAATACGTATTCTATTAGTTTTAGTCTTTTTGAATTTTATTTCGATAATACTACTTTAAGTATCGCGAACAGTTTGTAAGCTAGCATAACATATACGTTTATGCTAAAGTTTAATATTAATAAAAGCCTTTTTAATAATTGCAAGTAAAGCGTAGCCGGTAACAAAAGCAAAAAGTGCGCAAGAGTTATCTTTAATAATAAATAGCTTAGTATCTACTTTATAAATCTTTTTGTCGGTAGCCGTGAGCAACTTACTTTTTTTTAAATAACTATCGATTTTGCTTAACTTCAAGCTTAAATACAAATTGACGGGACTTTAAAGCATATAAAGCGTGTTTTTATACTTAATGACGCTTGCTAAGCTTCGTGATCTAAAGCATTTGATGACACAAGTGTTAATACTAAAAGGGCGAATTAAGCTTCTTATAGTATTTATAAAAGGGAGATCTTTTTTAGCTGTATAAATAATAAACTTAAAGAGATTATTGCAAACGTAATCAGTTGCTTTTGTATCGTAGAGCTAACGATTCTTGTTTGATAACGTATAAAGTGCTGTGCTATTAGCAGCAGCTAGAGGTTCTTTAGTAATAAGGAGCGCGTAAGAAAAAATCTTTCCGTTAACTTCCTTATCGTTTTTCTTTTTGTTATTGTTTCCTTTACCTTTTTTGTTCTTAATACGCTTGAAATATAAGATAGCCTTTTTGCTAGTTCTCTTTTTAAACGCTTTTCGAAGCTCTTTATTAATGACGAAGCAATCCTTAAAGAAGTATAAAGGTTTAAGCTGCTTGCAGTGCTTGCAATTAAGTCTCTTATCTGCAACTTATTGTAGCCTCGATTTATTTGCTGCATTTTCACTTTTATTATTACTTTTGTTTCTTTTTTTATTATTTGTATTCGAGTTATTCGAGTTTGATTTGTTATCGTATAAGGCTTGACTATTGATCGTTTTGTTTAAGTCGCTGCCTCGAGCTTCGTCGGTGATGTTTTTAATAAAAGATTCGAAAGTGATTTCTGCTTTCTTTTGTATAATAGTCGCTATCCGTAAAGTCGATCTCTAGCGCTTAGCTTAAATAAGCTATTTCTTTAAGCAAGTAGCGATAAACATTACGGGATTCTATTGTAAAAGCGGCGTAATATCTAGCGAATTAAGCTTCGTAATTGCAATTTTAAATGCTATTACGAATTTCTTTAAAGAAAGGTAATCGTCGTATTTAATTGTGATATAAGTTTAAATAGCATTGTATTTTAAGACCGTATTAAAACCTTTATATTAATGTCGTAAAGACTTTTACATATCTAAAGCAATGGCTTTATTTTATATGTGTTTAAAAAGACTAGCTTTGCAATTCAAGGTAATTGCAAGCTTTATTTGTAACTCTCCGGTATCTTAATCTAGCTATTTTTGCAAGTCTTTTGCTTTAATTGTATTGTCGCATTCGTCGACTTTTATAGATATCAAAGCTTTAGACTTTGGATTAATATATTTACTAATCTTATTAGACTTAGCAATATTGATCACTTTATCTTTCTATTATTGATAGTTCTTACTTCTTTTCAGCTTTAAAGCTTCAAGTAGGTTAAAGCTATAGCTCGAACTCATTTTCTTCCGACGTATAAGTATAGTCGTAATAAGTAGTTCGTCAGGTAGACTCGAAGGACTCGGAAGAAAGGGAGGTTCGCTGTCGATTAAGCGCGCTAGCGATCTAAAGATCTTCTTTAAAAGAGTAGTAAACTCGTTTTCATAATTCATTAGATAACAGTTCATCTTTATTAGCTTCGGAGAAGAATTAAAGATATACTTCAAGCAAAGTTGCTGCTACGTATAATAAGCTTCTTACGTTTAGTAGCGTTGAGTAGCGCGGTTAAAGAAGTGATAAAGAGATTCTAAGTTCAAGCACTAAAGATGGTTTCTCTAAAGCAAGCAGTTCCTTTGCCGCCTTTTCTCTTTTCGTAATATATTGATGTTGCTATATAGCTAAGTTTGCTTTAATTGCAGCTTCCTTTTGCTTTTTGCTTAAGGAACCGCTAGGTTCGGCCTTACTTTTCGCTATACTAGCAAGTGGTTGCAATTAAAGATCAATTGCGACGAAAGGTGCTATGGAAGCGCGTTCTGACGAATCGCGCGCTACGGTGACGAATTGTCAAGAGGTAAGTATTCTAACACCGAAAAGAGTGTTTAAAGTCTAGAAATACTTTAGAATAAATTGAATCAAGCTTCGGGGCTCATAACCTATTGTTAGTATCAATCTGGATGATAATAGTGCAGTCACGAAGAAGCTTCTGATATATGTGGTTGAATGACTTGTATTATCTAAGACTAAGAATTAAGAGCGAGGTTATAGTGGGAGCGTGCTAAGGCTGAGGTCCGTGCGTGCACGTGTACGTGCACGTGCACCGTACACCATGCTCTCACCTTACCTAGCAACAACCTTATCAACCGAATGTTTTGCAATTGCAAGTACTTTAACGACCTTTACGAAGTTACGAATATATTCCCCAATCGCTTGGAAGCAATCCAATAGAAACTTAAAAAGCTTACTCTTAGCGCTTTAATAATGCTTTATAATCATACTATAGCAAGCTAAAAACTGCGCTTTTTATAAAAAAGACCTTTTAAAGTATTAAGATTCAAAAGAGATTACTTAAAATCGTATACTTTAAAGCAAATCAACGGCAAAAGAATCTTAAAATGCTTTTATATCGACTAGCTAAAACCTTTTTATTTAAAAACAGCATATTTAATTAACGAAAAAGAAAAGCGATTATTAGTATATTAAAATTTAAAAGCAAGCACGGCAAAGCATTTATTATTAATCGAGGCTTAGAATATAAAAAAGATATAATAAATAAAAATCGAGTTTATTAAAAGAGTTTAAAGATATTAATAAAGCTAAGAAAAGCAAAACTATATTTGCAATAGAATAAGAAATTAAGATAGCGAAAGGATAAAAAATAAAATAAAAAGAAGCATAAGTATACTAAAAGTTAAAAAGTCGATATTTAAGAGTTGCTTAAAGGGTTGCTAAAATGAAATAAATAAAAAGAGTATCAGTTAAACAAGATATAAGAGTTTAGTTCTCGAGACGAAAACTAATATAAAAGGGATATGTCGTAAAGCTAGGCTACGTAACATTATTAAAGCATAAACCAAGTAGCAAAAGAGTCATCTCCTTCCTTGATGATTCCTCTCTTCTAAACAATACAACGACCTTCTCACTTTCATGACCGGTGGTTCAGCTATTACTTAAGGAATTGACCTTTATATTTTTAAACAAAACGGTAGATTAAAGCGATTATCCGTACTTTAATAAAGAAGCTACGCACCGCAACTATTAACATGCAAAAGAATCCCAAATCAGGCGCTCCGTAAGTCGAATCCACTCTCTTACTTCCCGTCCTCTGCTCGGTCAGGACAAGTCAGCTATAACCGGCAACCGCCGACCTAAGTCACAAGGCAGTCGTCCTGATCCATTCAGCAGTGCCGCAAAACGTTTTCAGCTTGCATAGCATGATGCATATGCAAGCAACAGGTCTCTGCAGTCCCAGAACGAAAGAAGCGCCAGGCACGAATACGTAGTGGGATGTTGATGGAGCGGCGAAGAGGTGTGGGCTCGGGGTCGGGGTCGATGGAAAGATGCAGGAACCACTTGTCACAGGCAGGGTTCCTTGGGTAAAGAATACAGTATAATGATAATTTCGTGATGGACCCTTGGTTACGGTACCGCAGAGCCAAGGAAGATGGATGGAATGGGTGATTGAAATGTTGTTGGAATTGATTGATGCTAGCGTGGGGTGGAGTGGAGTTGAGTGCAACAGTCCATCGATCGATGGCCAGGAAATGACAAATGAAAGAACAGTAAACAGGTATCGAAATACCTCCTGACCTTAGACAAGAATCTCAGGTTTCTGGTGGCTTCGCTGGTCTGTTTGAGCTGCTTACCCTCCTGATACATCACTCTGAAATGAAACGGAGTCAACTGGGACTCGGACTCGGGGGTTTAGGCGAAGAATTCGAGTCGGGTCACGTGCGAGCTTGACATCACGTCAACTGTCAACACATTGGGATCGGATGCCTTTCGCCACTGCTTTTCAGACCACATCATTTCGCAATTGGCCGTCTTCCAGATCTTCCCGAATTCCGAATATCTGTCTGTATTTGTGTTCGTTCGTCGTCTGCCTTCATTCTTCCCCGAAACTCGACTACCACCAGCTCTTCCGTCCTTTCCTCCGGCCGCCATGAAACCGGGCCAAAACCTCGCCACGCACCTTCGACCAACAGACTCTTTCTCCTCGCCTAGGCTGTCTGGACTAGCAACGTCTTTCTATCTCAAATTCAGATCGTTCTCATGGTTCTCATTACCAACGACAACCTTCCAGCCGTCACGCCGTCATGTCACTGACTCAAAACAAGGGCGAGCTTACGCTCGAGCGCTCAAGGCTCTCTCCCGTCCCCGTCCCCGTCGTCTCGGTCACGGCAGTTCGATCGCCACCTGTGATCTGTCAGACTGACCCCTTGGAGATTCCGACCCCCGAACCTCCGGTACGCTCTACCGGATGGGCAAAGTCTGAAGTGTGTTTCTGAAATCCCGTCTCCCCTCTCCCAAGAAAAGGGTCGAGGGGGCTCTTTCAAAGCCAGTGTGAGGCTCGAGAACCCGCACGAAACAGATGTCAGAATGTTTCGAGGCAAAAGGTTTGTCCGTTCTGCCATTTCAGATGCCGATTTTTCCTTCTGGATATGTTATCTAGCCAGGCTTCCCATGTGCCCCCGTGTACTTTTGTTTGCAGCGGCCTTCGAGGTCAGTGGTAGCAAGTATGCAGGCGACGGATGTTCTGCGGACTGCGACCGTGGTGGCCACTGTGCTTGCCATCTCGCTGCTTGCGCCGCTGATGATTGCGAGGGCTTGGATCAGGGGTTTTGTTGTAGGCGTGTGGGCTAAGGAGGATTGTGAGTGCATCTTCAATATATCCCGAGTTGGGGGAGGGTGTTCGGGGAAGGTCTGGACTCTGGCTAATAGCGCTCCAACAGGGACATGTATATTTGCGTGGGTGAGTCTGGAGCGGTGAAAGAGTGAAATGAGGAGGAGGATCCTAATAGGAGATAGATCTTTACGACAGCCTACTGCGTAACTGGATTTCTGAGTACGTCCCACACTCCCCCTGCCGTCCTGGTACACAAATGAACAAATGAACGTCCTAACTGCTCTCCAGTGACCAAACATGGCGGCGGTGTTCCGCAATCCCAAGTCTCCGCATCGGAGCTCATCACATTCAAAAAGCTCCTCTACGTCGATACCATCATGTATGTGCGTCCGGATCCCCTCGCCCCATCATCACTTATCTTCTAAAGCCGAAAAACTGACACAAGACGTCGAGTAGCTACTGCCCCTCCGCCTTCTTTACTAAAATAACCCTTCTCCTAATCTTTACTCGCGCCTTCGCGCACTTCCGCAAGACCGTAATCTCGATATACGTCTTGATTGGTGTCTTGGCCTGCTACTACCTGCCTGTTCTCTTCCTCAAGCTCAGGCTGTGCACGCCGATCGAGGGGCTGTGGGATACGAGCGTGGATGCCGTCTGCTGGGACAAGCAGAGGGTGTTCTTCGTGGATGCGGTGGTCAGTTGCGTGACAGATGGGGTGGTGCTTATCTTGCCGGTGCCTCTGTAGGTTGATCTTCACCGTCTTACCCATTCTATTCCTCAGATGACATTTCCTGCTCTTGCGGGTTGTGTTGTTGTGTGCCGCTCTGCCGAAGATTCGCGGGATTCCAAGCTGACACCGGAGCAGAGTCTGGTCTCTCAACGTGCCACTCGTCAAGAAACTGCGCATCGCGGCCCTGCTCGGCGCGGGCGGCATAGCGACCATCGCCAGCGTCTTCCGCGCTCTGCTGGTCTTCTCACCAGAGGTACCAGAGAACATCACGGTCGATTTCGTGCAAATGACCCTCCTCGGGTAGGTTACATATATTGAACTCGATCCGTTCGTGTTTTGATGTTCCCTTCGCTTAAGCCCCTTACACTCATTCTCCCCCATCTCTCTCCTCCCACGCCCACACTCACCTACCCGTTGCACCCTCGAAGCGGGGGTGCACGCAGCTTCGATTCCAGCGGTGAGACCGAGCAGCGCTGACCCAGATCCGCATCGTTTAGCATCGTAGAGGTCTTCACGGCCTTGATCTGCGCCTGCCTGCCCACCCTCAACCTCCTCTTCACGCGTTACACCCTCGGCAAACAGTCCTGCAGTCACGCCTCCAGCATGAACAGCGCCGGCCCGCCGAAGCAGAAATCCGTGGCTTCTCCGCCGAGTAGCCAGGCGGCTATGGGCGTGCCCCCGCCGGGCTCCGGTCTCCCGACATGTCGGCTGAAGAAGCTGCGACTGCAGGCCGGGGGGGAGGTCGGCGGCTGGAAGGAGGGGGGATATGGGTACCTAGAGAGGGGGAATGGGGAGTCGGGGCGCTGTGCGCGGATTACAGGGCAGAGGAGGCTGCGGGTTATAGGTGGCGGTCGTGTGTTGGCGAGGGGCCGAGCTGACGAGAGGAGAGCGGTGGCCGCGGCAGAGGTCGAGGGCGGTTTAGTTTCTAATTTTGATCCGGAGATCGGAAGCCCTAGCTATAGAGGGTGGAGCAATCACGAGATGGGGCACCTTGCGATAGGCCTAGAGGGCTTGAGGGAGGGAGGTGGAGATGCGATGCGTAATGGACGTGACGGCGGCGTTGCGGAGGAGTGGCCCCTGAAAACAGGCGGGTTTGTCATGATGCCGCGGCCTGTTGCTGTCCCTGTTGCCGTCGGTGTCGGCGTCGGCAGAGTCTAAGTTGAGAATCAGAGGAAGAGGGGGGGGGGGGGGTGCAGAGCATCATGCCGCACGCCATTATTTTCTTATTACATATACCAGGATACCACATCGCTTGCTGTACCGTTTTCTGCTCCTCGTAGTTTATATCACATCTATACATATATCCAACTATTTCAACTACTTACCTATTCTTATCTCTGTCTCTGTCCATTTCCCGGAATCTAATACTCTCTAGCCAACGGTTGATTGTCAAATAAAACAGCCTTGGTTACCATCTGTCTATCTATCCACCTATCCACACACCCACCATATCCTATCCTATCCCATCTACTCGTCCTTTCTCTTTCTTTATTTTCTTTCTTTCTTTTTCTCTGTCCTTTTTTTCTTTTTTCTTTCTTTTATTTCCCCCCCTTTTTTTTATTTTTTCCTTTTTTTTCTACTTTTTTCTTTTTCTTTTTCTTTTTCCTCCTTTTTTCTTCCTCCTTTTTTTCTCTTCTTTTTTTCTCTTCTTTTTTTCTCTTTTTTTTTTCTCCTTTTTCTTCTCTTTTAGTTATCTTTTTATTCACTTTTTTTTCACCTTTTTTTGACCTTTTTTCTCTTTTTTCTTTCTTTTTCTTTCTTTTTCTTTCTCTTTCTTTCTCTCCCCTGCCGTTAGAGGAAGTACAGAGTAATCGTATCACAGCAGTTCGTTCCTTCGTTACGCAAACAGGCAGGCAGGCTGGCAGGTAGGCAGGCAAAAGAGGCGCCCTGCAGCTGGCCGGGAAGGGGGGTTCAGCTTGTGTCGTGCTACGGAGTAGTGCTGGGCTATGCTGGGCGCGGGTAGCTACATCTAAGGTACGTGGCCTGTGATGTGATTTGAATTGATCAGATTCTGCGTGGTGCGAGAGCGATGGCGATGTTATTTTTCTTTTCTCGAGCTGCTGATCGATGGTAGGCAGGTAGGGATATCGATGATGATCTTTTACCGTATCTATCATCTATCCATCTGTGGCCTGCAGGCAGAGAGAGGCAGAGAGAGGGAGAGAGGGCATGGTGGAGGGCTGGGAGGGGAGGGACCACATGGACAAGACCAGACCACGAGCTCTCTCTCTCTCTCTCTCTCTCTCTCTCTCTCTCTCTCCCTCCCAGGGGGGTTGGAGTTGAACTTTGTTGGCCCGGTACGAAGTACTCTGCTGCTGCTGCTGCTGCTGCTGCAGCTCCACGCGCCTGGACATGGTGGGTTGAGAATAAATGGATGGATTCGGATCGGAACGAGCTGCTTGCTCGTAGACAGGCGTGTTGGGTCCGTATACCGGGTTCTCACCCTCGTCGGTTTTTATCGGTTATTGCTCGCTGCTATGTAGATAAGGGGGAAGGGGGAGAAGAGGTACGGTGCGGGCTTGATTGAGGGGGGAGGGTACAGCAGACTGCAGATAGATGGACTTGCGTGTGCTTTCCGTACTTGTGACTTGCATGATGTGTCACGACGTAGGCGCTGTTATTGTTGTTTTTGTCATTCGTATTGTTATAGTGGCTGTTTCATTCATGAGGTCCGAGGAAGAGGGGAGAGATAGGGTAGGGCGGTAGACTCGAGAGGATGTTTGTTTAGTATTTCGCTGTTGTGTGTTGTAACAGGTAGGAGGAATGGGGTATGAGGTGCATTGTCTGGTTTTTATACCTAGCTGCGTGGGAGTAGGCAGGTAAGGTAACTCCAAAGGTGCACATATCCGCCACTAGGTAGGTAGGTAGGTATATCTATTGCGTGACCCGGGACCGGCCTGCTGGTACAGAGATTCTCTGTCCTACAGCTACAGCTAGCTGTGTAGCCAGCCAGTCGCCCTACCTGTACCTGTAGATAAAAGTAGTTGATGGATATAGCTGAATTGAATTGATGGAGTTGACATTGTAAGAGGGAGAGAGAGAGAGAGAGGGAAAACCGGTCGAGGAGAGAAGAAGGGCTTCGCTAAATGAACGCTGTTTACTCTCGCTACCGATCTAGCCATGGGGAGCTCATAAAAGCGGGTTGCGGGTTTGTCATAGTGCCCCGTGACCTGTTCTTTTTCTTAGGTCAATCGAGTAGGTGAAATAACTGGTCTCGACTGCCTAAGTCGCATCCCAATAGGGCATTTTCCGATTGTGGTTTCGTAGATGACGAGGAGCATGGCGGGCCGGGGGCGGAATATCGGAATATGGTTGAGGTCCCATGATGTGTTTGTTTGGATTTGACTTGACTGTACTCTCGGTGGGTCGTTATGTCGTTGGGTCGTTGGGTCGTTGGGTCGTGGGTCGTGGGTCGTGGGTCGTGGGTCGTGGGAGTGCTGACGCCGCAAAGCTTGCAGATGCAGTGCACAGACAGATGCAATGCACGTGTTGTGGTCACGCTGGCAGCAGAAAAAAGGAAAGAAGTTACAAGTGGGCTTCTCCTGTGGCTGGGGTTGGTTGGTTGGTGGGTGGGTGGGTTGGTTGGGCCTTTGTTTTTGGTGAATTCGTTGTGTATTCTTTGTTGTCACCGGCGCCTTGTGGTCCCGAGTCGCATTCTCTTCTTTCTCTTCTTTCCCTCCCTTTTGCTCTTGCCTTTCTTTCTTTCTGTCTTTCCGTCCTTCCGTCCTTCCGTCTGTCTGGATCCAGGGCTGAGGCGTCGTCGCTGTATACGGAAAAATAGAGAAAAAGATCTTCCGTAAAGAGCAGCCACCCACCCACGCAATTTCACTCCATCGCCGTCATCGCCACGTGTTCTGGCCAATCGTAGCATCCAGCCCAGCCCAGCCCAGCCTAGCCCAGTCCCCAGCCCCCCAGCCCCAGCCCCCCAGCCCCAGCCCCAGCCCGCGCCGCCGGATATCTGGGAAAGCAAGCCAAAGCAGGCTAAGCAAGCACGCAAGCATCATCGGCGCTGTCAACAACACCATATCGTGGTTTGTCGTTTGTAGTCTGTAGTCTTTAGTCTGTAGTCTGTAGTGTGTAGTGTGTAGTCTGTAGTGTGTAGTGTGTAGTTTGTAGTTTGTAGTGTGTAGTGTGTAGTGTGTAGTGTGTAGTGTGTAGTTTGTAGTTTGTAGTGTGTAGTTTGTAGTTTGTAGTTTGTAGTTTGTAGTTTGTAGTTTGTAGTTTGTAGTTTGTAGTTTGTAGTTTGTAGTTTGTAGTTTGTAGTTTGTAGTTTGTAGTTTGTAGTTTGTAGTGTATGGTCTGTAGCGTATAGTTTGTAGTGTATGGTTTGTAGTCTGTAGTCTGTAGCAGCGGAGTCCGGACAGCCAGTAGCATCCTCGGTCGGGGTTCCTATCCATTTCAATTCCACTTTTATTCCCAAGTCAACGATCATAACACCCGCTCGCGGTACGGAGATGTTGTATATGCATTGATGTATACGGGACCTTCCGTACGTACGTACATGTTAGAATACCAAAACGGAAATTCGCCATCAAAGTCTCACGGACACGTGCCGTGCCGTGCCTAGTAGAGACATGGAAGGGAAGTTACCGAGCGCATATGATGCAATCCAACCACCACCACCAGCGACACGTACCAGCTCCCCTTCTCTACCGTACCTCTTGGTTACGTAGAGGAACCGCTCGGTTCAGGATCCACTAGACTAGGATCTCCAGCCATATCCACTACGTTACTGTAGGATCTCCAGCAATATCCCAACTCGTCCAATTAACGGTTTCGCTCAAAGTTTTTTATAGCTCTTCCCCTGTTTTCCAGCATTTAGCCCAGCAATCTAACGTAATGTTGTTTCTCGTTTCAGTTGGAATGACCATTTGCAGCTTCCCAGGCAGATGTCGAATATGTGCAAAGCATCATGCTTTCTCCGGATCCGGCGCGGCCATTGACTCGATATACTTTACTGTATAATGCCTCTCTCGGTCTCGGGGGTTTTCGGTCCAATAGGTCCACAATGTCGTTGGCTTATTAATCCTACCACCCTCATCAATTTCCGAGTAAGATTTGGGGATCCATACTTTGCTAACAGTTTCTAATCTTTTCCCCATCCGCTTTGAGAGGGCAAACAAAACCACGGTCTACGGTAATCCGACTCGCCAGCAGGTTCGTTATCGAATTGACCTATTGACTTCCGTGTCATACGGTCATTAAGTAACGATTTGTAAATATCAATCAACTTACGCGTAGAAAAGCTGTGCCCTCATTGATTAGAGGGCCCGCTTTCTAGACCCCATACTTTATCTCTGAAAGACTTTTGGTGTTCATTGATATACGCGGCTTCCTTCTATACCTCGCGTAATCGATATAAGCTTATGCTATGTAAATCAAGTGAAACTTACTTCTTGAACAGTTCGATAAGCGATGAGTTCTTTTCCATCAGCTCTCATGCGTAGAGAGAAAGCTTAAGGCTCGCAAGATCGGAGAGATCGATTGCGACAATAGCATCATGTTAGAGATGATAGTAGTGATGGGAGTGATGATAAAGAGGGTAGGTAATACATTTGAGTCCGAAGTAAGTGCAAAAAGGGATATATATAGGTACCTAGGTATCTTTGACTATATTCCTTTTGTTACGCTAACTCTTTATGATATTGCCATCGCTTTTCTTGATTGTATATAAATAGATCGACGGGTAAGCATAGATGCACTTGTCATGATAGGTCGGAGTGGATCGGAGTAGATCGGGTCCTTGAATACAATACTTTAAATACCTAGTGGCCCAAGATTTCCTGATACTACGTACGGGTAGTAGTAGATGTTGCTAGCGCCGTCTTCATGCATCATGTTCGCATCCCAAGATCCGATGCCCTGACGCTGACCGTGACCGAGACCGTGACCGCGACCGTGACCCTGACCGTCACCGGGACCCCTGCTGCACGGATTCGGTGCTAAACTAAGCTGGGCTAGGCTAATATGGGTAAGCGACTGACGATGAACCAGTCCCTGTGATTCAGTGTTGGTGGTGGTGGTGGTGGTGGTGATGGTACCGGTACCAGTACCGATATCTCTGAGCTGAAGAAATGAGTGTGTGCATCTATACAGTACAGCAGTACAGTAGCTATCTGCATGCATCTCTACGGATCTACGGAGCCAGTATCAAGCAGTACGGCATCTTTTCTCGAACCGATCCCAAGCCGACCTAGGTACCTACTAACCTACCCTCTCCACAGCACTCTACCGGTATAGGGTACCAGGTACCGACGACGGCCGACGACGGAGCGGATGCACACGGCATGCAAGCACATACGCACATGGGCACATACGGTACGGTAGTAGTAGGTACGCACATACCCATCCCACTCATACTGACCGCACAGTGCAGCACAGTGCAGTACAGTACAGTAGAGTACAGTACAGTACAGTACAGTGCGACAGTCGCTCAAGCTCAAGCTCAAGCTTAAGCTCGCTCAAGCTCATTTCAAGTTGCAGTTTGCTCCGTAATAGAAGTAGCCTCCTCCTGTCGAGTAGGCCTGATGATCATGTCCATCAGCCCCAATCCCAGCCCAGCCCTCGCCCAGCCGCAGGCCAGGCCAGGCCAGGCCAGGCCGGCCACAGTCTGTCTGTACAGAGTAAGAGTAAGAGTAAGAGTAAGAGTAAGAGTAAGAGTAGGTACACACCCGCCTTCGGCTGCCTGCTCTCCTCCTTCGGCCTATTCCCCCTTCACTCTTCACTATTCCCCTCTTCCCTCTTCCCTCCTCCCTCCGTCCTCCGTCCTCCGTCCTCCGCCCTCCGCCCTCCGTCCCCCCTCCTCCCTCCCCCCCTCCTCCTCTCCCCACCAGCGACCGACCCGACCTACTTTGATCTACATCTACCGTACACACACACCTACCTACCCTACCCCTACCCCTACACCTACACCTACACCTACACCTCCAGTATACCGGTACCAACATCTAAATCTAAACCGACGTTAAGACCCGTGACCTGGCAATAGCTAAAACTGCTACTACAGTACTAAGCACTAGCGAGTAGTTGTAACAACCCCTCTTCGCCTCGTCGACCCCTGGTCACCTAGCCCCTCCTCTCCCCCCCCTGGCTCATGGCAAAATCGAGCGCGTGAGCAGTGCCCGTCTTCCCAGCCAAGGATCCTCTGCAGCCAGCGCCTCACCTAACCACGGCCACGACCTACACGACCTACACGACCGACCTACACACGACCTACGGCCAACCTACTTCCGAAACCTACAGTCACCCCATACCAATCCATTCCATACCTACCTTACCTACTACCGCGCCCAACTCTACTCTACCGGTACCTACTCTAGAGACGAGACTCGACTCGCCTCGCCTCGTCTCGATCCTTGCGTTTGTCTGCATCTCAGCATCTCAAACGAAACTTCCTCAATATCTTCATCTCTGCACCGCACCTCATCTGATCAACTCGCCACCACCAATTCACCATCACCATCACCATCACCAACAACCAAAACAAAACAAAATAAACGGCATTCACCTCCGCCCGCAGCCCTCTCTCTTCCCCTCCCCCTCCAGCC